ACGGTTGGCGTCAACTTCCTTTCGAGGGTCTCAGGTTCAKCCTRCTTCGGATYGCTCGGATTGTAGGAGATGATRTCCATCGGCAGGTCGTCGACAAGTTGAGATAAGAACGTGAGGAGTTCGTAGGGAACTGTTGCTCATCCTCCCTTAGTGATCTCGCCGCACAACAGTCCTACCAATGTACCRTCGGTGGTCGACTCGTTCGGCCACAGCTGCGCCAACACMAGTGAGATCTCGTGATTGTGCTCCAACTCCCGATTACTATAATACYGAGAYCAGTGGCACCTMACTGTGAGCATACATACACTAACCGTCGCAAACTCGGTYAACTTACGGATGTAAGCWGAACTGAATGGAAGGGTGGAGGAGGGATGGATTTCCTGAGTGAGGAGGGGGTCGGCCGAAGATGGCCAGATGATCGGAAGATCGGAGGGGARAGAGAAGGTGGAGAAGYGATTCATCRGCGCTCGGGGTAGGGATGGAGATGGGGAAGTGGACGAGAGGGGCGATCAATGGCGCYGGTTCATAGGGAGAAGGTATCAATACAATCCGTTCCCACTCTTGTCCCCAATCGTTCGCCAACTCTTGTCCCCACTTGTAAGGTTCGGTGACCACCGCATCGCGMSGCTGCGCACTGATGGTACWCAGATMGCCGTTGAAAGCTATGACCACCGTTAYGTCGCTCTGAGTAGGTCGGGAGAAGCGAYGAAATCCTGATGCCTCCGCTAAGATGACTGTCGAGCCTCGATCGGTTGATATAGTTATCTYAAYGGTGGCGCACCAAGCCCTRTCGMAGAAGAGTTGCGCATACCGGAGAAGGTCGAGACTGAGATGGGGATGCGCGACTTGKCGAAATTGCAACAAGGTTCGAGGTTGAAGAAGATGAGGAGGAAGGGCCGGTTCGATCATAAAGCTYATGGCGAARKTGAGGGGGAGGTAAATGYAGACGACGGAAAGGAAGCGAGTTCCTCGTCCATGCTGGAGGAATAGGAAGAAGAAGGAGATCGGTTTAGGTTCTTWGAAGGAGGAAGGGGGCAGAGGTAGAAGGTGTGAYGGACAATGGGAAGGGAGCTATCATCTATGGCTGCCGCTGGCTTCGGGCGCGATGCGGACCGTGTTGGTTYCGTTGGGACCAAGCTCTACGACGCGAAAACARCTAGAGAATTTGGGAGCGASTTTACWGTCGCRTGCACATTTGCATACCTACACCAGATCCCCTAGCTTATATTGGTGTTGTGGGCCCGCATTCCCATTCCGGGCCTCGTAGCTACGGACCTGCTACCGTGGGCCAKCTCGGTCATTTTCTATCTTTTCCGGGCCAGCTTAGGAAYGACCCTTTCCATTAAATCCGGCTATTGGTTCAAAGCTGGAAGGGGGTGAACCCTGTGGACTCATRAGGGGTAGCTCGGTGGATTCCRACGATCTGATAAACAATCTCGGGCCGTGGACRCGTGTCTCGAGCCGCTAAGTTCTTACGSAGGGCGGTCTTGATCATGCGATTCGCATTCTCTGCCAGCCCCTTCGACTGGGAAACATGGGGAGCGGTGTGTCGGAGAGTAACGCCACGGCGCATTAGCAATTCCTCTACCTCACCCTTGAATTCGGATCCATTATCGGTTAGAATCTCCTCCGTATCTAKATGGGTATTGAGGAATCGATCGATGTATGTGGCTATCTYTGAGGCCTTACGGGTTTTACATGGATAAACTTCGATATATTTCGAGAAATGGTCGATTAACACCAAGAGGATRGAGTATTCGCAGCGGTTGGGGCCAGGTGGCACGTCAATATCAGYCGTATCCATACTGACCCGTTGAAAAGGTTGTTCTACCTCKGTCGGGACTATTGTATTTGGCCCACGAATGGGCACGCGGTCTGCCGCACAGACTAGGCAGTTAGCGACCAYGTGCTYCACATCATCCCGGATATTAGACCAGAATCATCGATTTTGGTCGATCGTTGCCTCGGTGACACGTATTGCAAAATGAGCGGCCTGTTCCTCGTGCAMGGACCTCGTCCAGTCATATCTCTGAAAAGGGTGGGGAACCGTCAACCATACTCCAGATCCGTCCGTCTTACGCTTATCTAGATGTCCGTTGATCCATCGATAATCTCGGGACCTTTCGGTWGCCCGAYGCCTTTCGTGTTTAGTGARATGGTCCAATGGTTGGCCAGCTAATTTAGCTAATAAGATTTTATCCGTCCATACCTCCGCTCGTSGATATTTCTCATCGTACTCTGGGTCGTCCGTTCGTGCAACCTCGAATCGAACCTCCGTAGGGAGTTTGTCCGTCCTACATAGGGGGCATCTCCATTCCTTACTACTCGTTCTGTATCGAACGCATGTGCCATGTGCACGATTGACACACGTGGCCCATTCCACCCAATCARTAAATCCAGATTCGAAGGGGTAACAGTCTACCCCGTAAACTCGAGAAATACACGTGCAAAAATAACAGAATTTGTCCGGGAGAGCAGTGAGAAAGTCCGAATGAGCGAGGGGAGCAGAAGATGTGGGAGAGACCGAGTCAAGGGGAGTTTCCATCGTTCCAAAAAGAAACAGGAAAGGGGAGGGAGAGACAGAGTTGGGTACATGTGTCCACTTAACCCTTCGGCGGGATTTCCACTTCTCCGTATCGAGGCTTGTTCTTTGGCTCCGGGTCGCGCCARGGGGTCACTTCCTCACTCCTCGGTACCCTGTCGGAACAGTGGAGTCGTGTCAGCCCGTTTCTGTTGCTGTGTTTCTCGTGTTTCCGATGACGGATGTCAAAGTCCATGCTCTGTTGCGTGGTGGCCCATCGCCCGATCATGCCCGAGTAATCCTTGGACTTCTTCAGTGCCAGTAATGGTTCGTGATCGGTTACCAGCGTAAACCTTCGGCCATATAAGTACGCTCGGAAATGACTGATCCCCCACAAGGCCGCGTAGCATTCCCCCGTCGGGGCAGAGTAGTTGCGTTTACAGGACGACATAGCCTTCGACGCGTATTCCACCACGTGTTCGAGGCCATCTGGTCCCACCTGGGCCAAGATCGCTAAAACCGCCTCAGGCTCCCAATCGGTGATGAGAACAAAGGGTTTTTTCGGGTCCGGTCTTATGAGGACTGGAGCCGAAATCAAGGCCGCCTTGAGTTCTCCGAAAGCCCGATCGCATTGCAGAGTCCAGATCAACGACTGATCCTTTTTCAGTAGATTCATGAGTGGTCTCGCGACCGCTGCAAACCCCTTGATGAACCTTCAATAGTACGATGTCAAACCCAAAAACGCACGGACTTGTGTTACGGATGTCGGCACAGGCGCGTTCACGGCGGACACTTTCTGGGGCTCCGGCTGCAATCCTTGGTCCGTAACCACGTGGCCAAGGAAGGAGATCTCGGTGAGGAAAATCTGACACTTCTCAACCGCCACTTCGAATCCTGCGTCCTTCAGTGTGTGCAATGTCCATTCGATGTGCTGCACGTGTCCCTCATAGGAATTGAAAAACACAAGGATATCATCCATATACACAATCACACAATAAATGATTATGCTCTGTGCCAGCCGCGTTTTTCACACGAAGTTTTGGAAGGCCATGTTCATCGCGCGTTGAAACATGGCTGGGGCATTGCAAATCCCCATCAGGCATCGGACGCACTGCCAGGTTTCTTCGAAAAGAATGAACGTCATTTTCAGGCGGTCTTCTTTTCTGACAAGGAGATGGTGGAATCCATTGCGAACATCAAATTTACTGAAAAATTGAGCACTACCGATAGCATCTAGCAACTCATCAATCCGGGGAAGGGGATACACATCCTTGATTGTGATATCGTTTAATTTTCGGTAATCAATGCCTATGCGAATTCCTCCTGCCTTTTTCGCACAATCACTATCGGAAACGACCATGGTCCGATCGCGGGCTCGATCCAACCATTAGCTTCGAATTCCTTAATCCTTTTAAATGCGGCCACTCTTTGCGTCGGTGAATACCGACAACGAGCGCAACTAATCAGCGGATGATCCTCCGTAGGGATCTCATGCTCAATCGCATTAGATAACCCAATATCATTGCCATGCACACTCAATACCTCGGCATACCCATGCAAAACATCAATCAGGGATCTTTGGATATCTCGGGGGACATGATTGGGTATTGTGATTACTKCATTATCCGCAATGTTTAGGGGCGTTTCGATCCAATCCATCTTTCAAGATCGCCTGTCGTGCACACCGGAAAACATGGAACTACTAGTTCGGACCGAGAAGACGGTGGCGATCATTTGGGATTCAGTCGGACTGATCATCTCAATCTCCTTAATCTCAACGTCGGTTTCAGAGTCGACGACGCGTTTTGCTATTTCTACTCCTGTTAACCCAGTCATTTCCTGCATGAGATCCGGAACATCCTCTATCGGAGATTCTGCTTCTTGCTTGACCAAAGCGACCATGACTCCTTGCGTTAGTAGTGATCTAGGTGGAGAGGCAGAAAGGTCCAGATACTGATTCATCTGCTGATACCTAGCCCGGTGTGAAAGTCTGCCTTCGTACAACGTGCGAGCGGGTTCCAAGAGATCAGCCATGTCTGAAATTTCCAAGATCGGTTCTCCCAAGAATGACGTGGGGGAGATCCATTTTTCGAAGGACAGAATATGGTTCCGCTCGCTATTTTCTAAGCTCGAACGAAATGTTCGAGCGATTGCAGGGATCATTCGAAATTTTTCTTTAGTCTCGCAATCGAACATTTCGACTAATTGCTCACACTCCTCTTTACTAGGCATACCACTCAATTGCTCCTTGTAATCGTGCTCGTCGAACTCGTCTTCCCACTCAAGGTGTTGTTCTTTGTCATTGTTTAGGAGAGACTCCTCCGGCAGTGTCGAACCCGTGAACGTGAACGGGTCCGGCCACTTGAACGTGACCGACCGTTCACCGGGTCCGATTCCCGTGAACGGCCGTTCACGGGGGCCGTTCAAGGCCCATTATTTCACGTAGTAACCTGCGTAGGAATAAGACTACGAGTACTGTGGCTACGTTTTGCATCATGGCTGCTCCTTAACTCAGGAACTGTTACAATTGTGGATTGCCAGGTCATTTTTCGAGAGAATGTACTCAACCGCGACGGGCGCCATTGACTGGGGCGAATACGACTCCTGTGAATACTCCCTTATAAACTCTTCCGGCTCCTGCGCTGGTGCAACCAGCGTATGTGGCTCCTGCTCCGGTAGCGGTCTCGGCACCGGCTGCTGCTCCAGCGTATGCGGCGGGAAACTATGGCCAGCGGACGGGCTACTGGAGGCAGACCTTGGACCGCTGTGCGGCCTTTGTTGACGAAGCAAGGGCTAAGGAAGCTAATCAGAAGGAGGAAGAGGAGAACGAAAAGAAGAAGAAGGAGGCGCAAAAGGAGAGGGAGGAATTTGAGGCCAGGGTTGGAGATAGGCTAGAGAGTAGACTGGCGGTGATGTATGGTACTGCAGTGACCGGAGGAAAGAAGGTGGTCACGATAGCGGAATCGAGCGGTAAAGACAAGCAAGCGGAGGAATTGCAGAGGTTGCAAAAAGAGAACGAGGAAATCAAGAAAAAATTGGAGAAGGAAAGTGGTAGTAACGAAGGTCTAATTGATAGACTGATTCGTGAAAACGAGGAGCTGAGAAAGAAGGTGGGATCGATTCGGGACCCATTGGAGGACGGCTTGGATAAGCTTATGAGGGAAATGCATGAACTACGTGAAGAAAGGAAGGCGGATAAGGAGGTATTYGTTGGTRTGAAGTCGGAGATYGRCTCGCTTAGAAAAGAAAAGCAACAATSGATGGAAGAGACACARATGTGGATGAATGAGGCATTGAGGCCGGGTAATAAGAGAGGTACGATAGCGATTACAACGCCGGAAAGCAGTGTGAGAGAAAGGACAAGACAACGGGTGACGRAGCTCCCTGGGGACATGCGAGAAGAGATTCGGAGGATGAAAGATGCGGAATACTGCAGTATGCGTGAAGTGGAAGCATTGAAGCAGAGAAAAACGGATGYGGAGGCAAAAAAGGTGGAAGCGGAGAGCAAGAAGASGGAGGTTGAGGCAGAAGTTGCCAGACTTCGAGAACAGGTGGAGAGACTTAYGACCGAAGCGGCTGTACAGCTGACGGGAGGGACGGATTTGAAAAGCAAGATGGATGCCGTGGCTGCAAGCGTYCAGAAGTCGGGAAGGCGAGGCAGGCCAAAGGCGTTGGMAGAAAGGACGCCAAGGAAAGATAGTGGCGCTGGTGGAGAGAATGATCGCTTTGTCTTTCTGYRGGAAGAAAARAAGAAGTTGCATGYTTTGAAAAAATYCGSACTTGAAAAGATATGTTTGRAAGAAGGGATTGACTATAAGACTATTGAACAGACGGCTGATGAGCTGGCARAGATAAGGGCTGTTGCGCGCTTCRGAAAGAAGCTTGGMGAGACTTCGAATCCGGCAAAGGAAGTAGAGACTAAAGATGACAAGGAGTCTGCGGTTGACAAAGGTAAAGGAGAAGTTGGTGTGGAGGTAGAGGATGTGCCGTCAGATTCGGCTTGAGGGGACTTCCCGGACGCGACAGAGTTGTGGAGGATAGTCAATCGATATAAGACTGCCGATGTAAATCAATGGAAGAAGGGAACATTRAATGGGGATTATCAGCAAGCGGTCCTTTCTTTKATAGTGCGTGGKGAAATATCTTGGGCGAMGAAGTTGKWGAGTTATTTCAATGTGATTTGCGATGATGGAGTTGACTTGGTCAAGTGTAGCGGTCCTCTCGTCTATGTGTTAGTTTCACCATGGGCWAGGCATATGTATGTGGGTGSGACAGCCAGATCACTGGATGTACGATGGAGGGAGCATCTGTTTAGAGTCGGTAATCAGGATGTGATTGAGTCTGGGCRGCGCAACCAGCGGTTGTATAACTGGTTGCAGAGATGTTGCGTTCAGAAGTACGTCGCGTTACGTCTGGTGAGATGTTCGGAGGAGGATTTGTTTGAATTGGAAAAAWTTATAATTAGATTAATCTCACCGTACCTGAACAGTCGGGACAGACCGAGAAAGCACTCACGGAGGAGGGYGGGAAAGCGTGAGCGACGAAGAAAGGAGAGGGTGGCTGATAAGTCCAAGGAAAGTATCRGGGTAAATCGAACACACCTGACTTTTACTAYTGCAGATSGTTATGCTACGGTAAGCCTYYTTAARATCTTAAATAAGTGTCGTGAGATGGKGTCAAYTGGTGYGGTGATGGAATGCAAGGGTGGGTGTCTGTTGGTTAATCAATGGAAATTGGTGAAAAGATGTTATGGTTCTTCGGAGGTAGTGACACGTTTTGGCCGGGCACAGTTGAGAAGGGCGAAGGGATGGTTGGTAGACGGGATGAGGGTGGAATTTGCGTCGATTATATCGTTTTGCTYATYGCTTTCTGCGTTCAAACCGACGCTTGTTAAGTTCTTGAGTCAACYGCAATCGYGGAAAGAGTTACATGGATGGGATTTCGAGAGGCTCGTATGGATGTATAGCGCTGTGCGATCGTTCTCGGAGAAACGRACCAGATATACATCGAGATGCATTCTTTCTGKGGTGATACGTYGAAGGTTTGGACTAAATGTGAGAGAGCGGATGATGGTGAAGGTAACTTACGATGAGACGTTGAGTAAAGCTGGGATTAGGAAGGTGTGTGCGCTGCTTGTGGAGAAACTGGAAATTTTCGTTGCATGAAAATGGATGCTGGTTCGGCGATTGAGAGTTGTGTGGAAAGAATAGAAGCATCGGCGATATTCTTTATAATTTCAGGACGGTGTCGCGAGAGGAGGAGGTGGCATGTATGTGTGAAAGTTCGGATGAGCGGTTCCCGTGCAAGAATGAACACGTCTGTAATAGCATGAGTGAATTGGAGTTTGTACCGGTTTGGCTCAAGAATGCACGGAATATCCCACGGCCAGCAGGAAGGCATGTTAGAGGGTCGCTGAAGAAGCAGCTGCTGGCGGCTTTTGGAAACATTGTGTGTATGGCTAAGGTTACTACGATGGACTTTGAAACGATGTTATCGCATGAATTGCTTAATTCTTGCTTCAATGGTGTTGCATGTGAGAAGGAAAGGGCTTGTAACACGCTTGAGATGGAAGTTTGGCGAAAGAGACTTGATGGTTTAGTCAGATGCCCGCTGGATCAGAGAAACAAGAGGGTTGGAAGACACACAGATTGGGTGGAAGAAGGTTGGTTTCGACATCATTATCCGATTTGTGCAGTTTGATTTGGACTGTACATATGTGTCTGCATGTGGAGTGATGTTAAAGCAATGCCTTGGCATACCGATGGGTAAGGCTTCGAGCCCGGCCCTTGCTTGCTTGTTGTGTGCGTGGGCTGAATTCTCTTTCCTCAACTCTTTGGGTAGTATGCGGGCATTAACCTATGGAATGAGGATTGTCGACAACGTCACGATATGCGTCCGCTACGACACATTGAGGCAGGACACCAAGAAGAAAGCAGAGGAAGGACACTGTTGGGGATGGAGGGTGCCTTTTTGCTTTCTCTGAAGATAGAACTTAGGATAAGGAACTTCCCGGATTATTATTTTGACTCTGCTTTGACGGCTTTCTCCAACAAGTTCGGCGGTATGTGGGATGGTTGGGTGGATTGCCTCACGGGTTGGGAAGTTGGTGGGAAGAAGCACAACACGCGCAGTGGAAAGCTGTGCAGTAGCGTAGCATAGTAGGTAACGAGCTCTGACTCTGGGTCTTTTTCGTCTTAACTTCTCTCTCTACTTCCTACCTCCTTTCTCGTCTATAGCATGCTAAGTCTTGAAAGTTTCTGCTCCTATTTCTTGTCTTTGAGTATTTCTGTCTCCTCCTTTTGGCTCTCCCTCATGCTAAGATTTGAGGTATGGCAAGTTAAATCAGATGTGATGGCCAGATATATGTTTTCGGTCTGTGTGTTGTGGTTGAAAAATGACGCGGGTATGTGACGGGGGTAAGATAGGACGGTGTTGTCTCTTGGTATGAAGGCTTTATCTTTCTGTTTTTAGTTGGCACGGTTAAACGCTGTTACTGAGTCTTCTCAGAGGGTAAAGACGGGGTGGCATTATTTCTTTACCCGGTACCCCTTGTCGGAGGGTTGTGTATGATTTGTTTTTTTGGCCTATCTTGTAAAGAGGCTGTCTTTTCTGGGGTCTTCTTGGTACTTTTGTTCTGAGCCCGGATAGTTTCTGGTACTCTGTGGTAAATGGGCCTGGTGGTATCAGGGCTGTTTTTGAGTGTGGGTGTCTCTGTTTGTCGCTCCAGCGTCAGGAATTGTTTCTCTCGTACGTAAGCTTAGCAATAGAAGTCTCTGGAGAATTTCACGTGTGTAGGCAAGTTAGTGCAGGGCTACTTAAGGAAGAAGCAACGATCAGTTAGTCCTCCTCAACTTGCGATACCTGACCCCTGATGAGGGCTCGTTGGCGACCAGCCGAAACGCGGCGTAGGGTCACGCTATTGTTACCGGGTGATTAGTAGATTCATGGTAGGCTAAGTACTGACTTTGTCAGGAAATTGCCGACCATTTTGGCACGAAGCCGGTGACGTGATGGGTGATGTTTAATGATGATTTCTGACCCATCAAGGGGGTCGCGTTCGGGAGAGCTACTGTGTTGACTTCTCGACTTTTCTTCCTTCTCCCCCCTTTCTCTCTGGTTGCTGTTTTCTTGAGCTTCTCTTGTGATGATGACATGCATCTGCTTGTGTGGTCAGACGAAATGAGCATTGTATTGTGCTAATTGTTATTCAATTACCACGTGGCAGCCCAAGTGGTCGGCGTCGAGGTGCGATCAGGGTCGCGCGGGGTCCAGCTAGGACCCCGTACCTTCAAATCAGAAAAAAAAAAAAAAAAAAAAAGTATATTTGTGTTTAAAAAAATAATATAAAAAAATATTTGGGGGTTGATTGATTGATTGATTGATTGATTGGTTGGTTGATTGATTGATTGATTGATTGATTGATTGATTGATTGATTGGCTGGTGGGGGAGGGGTCCTCCCTCCACTCCCCGGCGTGTGCGCACCTCTCTCTCTCTCTC